TTTTCAACTGTGTTTATGCTACGATTTAAGCCATGGTTTTCCATTTGGCAGATGTATGTGACAGCTACTTACACTATGCACTTAGTTATATGCAATAGTTTGTTGAAACTATTGATATATAAGTTAACATGAATAATATCTCATACAAAACATTTCCTTTAAATTACTTTGTATAACAAGACAATCACATCTATTATCGACTTAAATTCATTGGATTTCTTAGATCCTATATATTTATATGTATGTTTAAGATTAATCAGATTGCTAGTTTTATATATCATTGCACAAGTAAAAAATAACTGTCATAATTTCAGGTACTTTGTGCCTTACGGTTTTTTGCATGTGGTTCATACCAGCAGTCTATAGCAAATGAATTCTGCCTCCAAGTCAGCCAGCCTACTGCTAGTAGAGCAGTTTCACATGTTGCTGCTGCTATTAACAGAAAATTACTCAGAAAATGGATAAAATTTCCAAAAACTTCAAGGTATGTATAACCAGTTGCATTATTTTAAATAAAACCTTGCTTTAGGTTCTCTAAACTGAAAAAGTAGAAGAAACATAAAGTAGATCAGCTGTATGCATACTTTCAGAGTTTTCTTGGGTATAATATAGAGGCTAAGGGCCATAATAAACCACCTGCCAATGCTTCTAAAATAATTTGTGTACATATATAAAATATGCACCTAAAACCTTTTATTTCTCTCACGATTCTATGCAGTATACCTGAAAAGCAAAATTTAATTTTTAAATAAATGCTTTATCAGATTATCAATTGTTCTCTTGTGAATATTTAATGTAGCGGGAGGGTAAGTAATTAACATATTATTATTGTTATAAATTGATTATGAATATTTCCTTTCCTAGACAGCAGCAAGAACTGAAAACTAATTTTATGCGATTGGCTGGTTTTCCTGGTGTAATTGGGGCAATAGACTGCACTCATGTGAAAATAGTGGCACCTCCACGTAATGACAGCACTTGTCCTGAGCACATTTTTGTTAATAGGCATTGCAGTCATTCTATAAACGTGCAAATGGTATTTACGATATATTACTTTTTAACCATTTCTTAAAAATATAAATTTGGAACACAGCAATGTGATACTTAAAAAAATTAATTTTTGTTGCTGAATATTAAATGCAGTACGATTACTTATTTCTGTTTCCTAGGTTTTCCCCCCTCCATTTTTTGAAGTATTCAGATTTCTATACAAACAAAAATTATCTTTAAATTTTTTTATACAATTATCTTTCAGATATGTGATGCAAACCAAAAAATTATCAGTTGCAATGCTAAGTTTCCTGGATCAACACATGATGCTTTCATATGGAGGACATCAGCTGTCAGAAGAATAATGCAAGAAATATCATCGGCTGAAAATACTACTTGGCTGTTAGGTACTTATATACATATGTGTGTGTGTGTGTATATATACACACACATATGCTTGAATTTCTTTGAAGTACAGCTATGCAGTACAGTATATGCATAGAATTAAATTAATCACCATTTGTTAGTTGTTATTAGTTTATGATATAAATGCACTGTAAATAAAATTTTGGGATACCTTAACTTATAAACTCCCAGAATTTTAATATTACTACATGAAAAGTTTTTCTGAAAATGTTCATAGAGATAAATGGTCTAAAGCAAAGACTGAACCAATGAATGATGATAACAGTTTATGTTAAATAATTCTGGCTATATAAACAGTTATAATTATCATATAAAGAAATATGTAAAATGTATGTAAAGTAATAAAATGTTTCATTATTTTGAAGAATTTTTAATATTTAAAATTAGGCGAAAAGCAATATGTGTTTGGCATAGATTTTGAAGAAATTGATATCAGTTTCAGACAGAGGTACAACTGAAGAAAGAAGTCTGCTGCTGAGAAAGGAGCAAATAAATCTGATGATGTTTCTCCCCCCCCTTAATTTTTAATTTTACATTGCCTAATTTCTGTTCCAATTTGAAATTTTTTATGTGTTACAAAATGGCATTGAACCTAAAATTATAGTAGCAGGTAGTTTTCAATTAGTGTTTGCTAGTATGCCAAACTTTAGCTATGTATTTCTATTTTTTTTTTTTTTTTTTTTTTTTTGTGAAATATTTTACTTCTATCTTATTTTGAATTCCTAATTTTATGAAGGAGATAGTGGTTATCCTCTTGAGGAAGGTTTATTAACTCCACGACTGGATTCATTAGAAAATTCTCCTGATCAAAGATATAATGTTGCTTTGTGCAAAACAAGGAATGTGATAGAGAGATGCTTTGGAGTCTTAAAATCAAGATTTAGGTAATAAAGAGTATTAAATAATTTAAAATACTTTTTAGTGTACAGTATTATATAATGTTAAGTCAGAATATATTAAATAGTTATTCCAATAATTTTTTTTTTTTTTTTTTTTCAAGTGTCTGCTAGGAGAAAAAGTTTTGCATTACAGACCACAAGTAGCAGGAAAAATAATAAACGCCTGTGTAGTCCTGCACAACATGTGCAACGCTCATGGGCTGCCAGATCCAGCACTTGTGGAATGTGAAGAAATTCCTTCAGAAATTGAAAGAGGCACTTCACATGCAAGAGCAATCTTAATACAACGTGATTTAATAACCAACTATTTTAGTACATTGTTTAAGCTCCTAACTCACTGAACACTTATCTGAAACTCTAATTAATTTAAGTACTAATTTCTTAATATGTTTCTCACCTCAATTGGTAATAAATAAAACAATCTATAAACTAAAATAAAATCTATAAAGCAATAGCATATAATTAAAAGCTAATAAAAGCGAAAATTTGAGATAATTTAACTCCCCTGTATTTTTAAAATAATTTTTCAGTATAATTTATAATAAGTTATTTCTATTTACAGGTTGAAATAAGGAGAGCTACAGCTCTAGCAGAAACATATGGATTATTCAAAAATTATGTCACACTGTTATATATAATAATAAACATATATTTTTTCAAACTGAATTTTTTTATTTGTTATGATAATTTCTATCAAGTGCTGCAAACATTAATTGGCAAGAATTATTAATTGTTTTGGTTAATTCTGCTACTGCAGATTTCATATCATTTGCAGAGTTCTTCATAGAACATGACAGCTCACTGATTGCTGCTGTCATGTTTACAATATTTTGATTTAACTCATCAATTTTCTCCTCCATTGATGACTGTGCTGCAGCTATCTTGTCTAATGCAGCCTCTGCTGCATGTTTTAATTTTTTTCGTGGAGGCTCCATGAAACTGTTGGTGCTCTGGAAAGTCTCTGCAGCGGTATGCTAAATTGAGTTTGGCAGCAAAAGAAAAATTTTCTAAATGTCATGTTTTCCTCCTTAACACATTTCAATAATGCTAAGAAAAATACGCATTAATATTTAGAGTATTATATATATATACAATTTCTTGCATCTTTAGTTACAGCAATGAAATTGTAACTTACATGAACTTCAAATTTTTTATAAAATTTTAAAATGCTGTTTTTTCTTCTAACAAATTATTGTTTGAAAGGTAATCAATTCACTGATACTCTAATTTCATGTACATTGTGTTGTAACAGAAAATGTGTTGCTAATTTTTACTAAAAAACTCATATATATTGGAAAATATATTTCTGACTTCCATGGCATTCTATATATATTTATTCCTTATAAATTCTGAATTCAATAAAAATAATCTTTTAAGTAATAACACTGTAACATTATGCTATAACAAATATTAATTTAGGAAATAATACTGAAATAAATTTAGAGCGTTTCTAAAAAAATTAGTTGTGCATTTATGTTACACATCAAACATATCACAAAACCATCATGCAACTAGCCTATACAGTGACTAGAACTTCAAAGGAATTATTATTTTTGGTTTTAACTTCTTGGATACTATTGGGCTTTCTTTATATAACTGTTTGGGGAAATGCACATTAAAGTTATTCATTTTCAAATAATGTGAATTTTGTTTTTGTATTGTTTCCAGGTGGAGTAAAAATATGCATTATGAGATTAATTAAGATATTTTTAGCTAAACAATATCTATAAGCATTCCGTTTTTCAAACATTTCTTTCAAGGTAACTCAAATCATATGTTGATTAAACACATAGCAATATTTACCTAACAACATAAAGTTATTAAACAGAATTTAAAACACTTACAGATTCTTCTTCAATGGCAGGGTCATTGATGCCTTCCATTCCTTTAACGGAGGTATTTCCAATTAAATTCAGCAATCTTTTTTCTAGATCGCTCAATTCCTTTGCACAAGGTGGTCCTCCTCCAGTTTTTTTTTTTTTTTTTTTTTTTTTTGTGAAACTGTTATTTCGGCTGCCTTCTTTTTCACGGAACATTTCCAATCAATCCATGTCTAATTTAAAAAAAAAAAAAAAAGAACAGGAAATACATGAGTTCAAATTCTTTATATAAGGTGAGTTTTTATTTTTAGAATAGAATAAAATAAAGAACTAATGTTGGACATACTAAAGTAAGTAGAGTCAACATGAATGCATACATTTACATGAATAGTTTTAAAGAATTTGACAAGGAATTTCTTGAACTGTAGGAGGTCTATGTTTATTGTTGTTACTTTAGTACTTCCAATGTGAAAAGAATATTACTACCTTTTAATTACTTTCACAGAATTAAATTATTTTGAGAAGTCGAAGAATATTTAAAACAAGCAGTTTTCTTATATATGTATAAGAAATTAAAATAACAGTAAAGTAATATTTAAAAAAAGTATTATTGATATATGCATTATTAGTAATGACAAAAATTACAATAGATCAAATAAATCACTTATATAGAATAGATGATTATAATTTTGGTTACATATTTTATATTGAAAAATTATTTTCTATTATGTTAATTAATTATAAGATAAATTATTTAAAATAAAATATTTTAATACATGTTGTAATAGCTAAATGCAGCAGCATACTGTAAGGAGCAAATAAATTTTATTTCTTTTACATAAATAAATAATTTTCTTAGAAAAAGAAAATAAAAGCTAGAAGAAAGAAATATTTTTCTGATATTAACTGTAAATAAATAACTTGAACAGAAATAGCAGTTTAATGTGTGCATGGGGAAAAAAAAAAAAAAAAAAGTTTGCAGTTAGATTGCAATGCAAATTAATCAGATTATAAATTTAAATATTTAAAATTGCCTCTTTTTAAAAAAGATTTTAAGTAAGCTTATTTCACTTACTCTTATGCATTTTTCTGTTGTTTTGGTACATCCTCCTTGTGCGTTTAGATTGTACGCAATCACGTCCCTCATCTCTCTTTTATTCTTAGCTGTGAAGTCCTGAGTCAACTTTCCTCTAAAAAAAATGGGATTTTCTTCCATGTAACAAAGCAGCATATTCTGCTGCGTTTTAGTCATTATACTTTTTAGTGCCTTTTTTTTTTTTTTTTTCCCAACTACAAATGCAGTGTGAGAGTGAAATGATGGGAGAACATTCGTAGAAATTCAGCCGGCACGCGCTATAAATTGCGTCACTTCTCTGTGCTGTGATTGGTCTAAAGCTCCGCGAAATCTTGTCCCCTCTTAATACAGTCAAGTGGACTCAGCCGCGTGTCAACCGAGGAACACAGAATGGTTTTCTCCGATAAGTTGATCGCGGGAGAAGACACCAGTTTTTTTCCGAGTCAATGTTGTTCGCGCAAGTAGTCGATGGGTCAGCGATTGTAGAATAAGCGTCCGTACAGAGCCAGTATGTACATGGAACTTTTCCATTTGTCACATTTTCTTATTTGACTGTGTGTAATATCTGCTCAATCCACAAACTTTCCAGCTGCAATGTCTAAAATCTTAAAGAAAAATTTTCCGTACCAATTCTGTAACAAAACAGAAATATTTTGGAAAAAAAAAGAGGAAAAAGTGTACAATTTTATAGAGAAAACTGATGCATATTCTGAGATAATTACATAAGAAAAACTCTTACAATGAAAAAATTGAAAGAAGACATTTTTAGTTAACCGTTAGAGTCCGGCAAAGCGCTACGGTGCTTCACTTGTCGTATGCCAAAAATACGGCACAGCACAATAGCGCTTCTCTTGTTTTGTATCGAGAATGCGAAGACGCTGCTGTTGGTTAGTATACTTTACGCAATTATTGAGAGCAGTTGTAGTGATATCAGTAGTAGTTGTTTTATAGGAATTGGAAATTGTTTTCATTTCATTTTTTTACCAAGTGTTATATTGATAATTACAAAATAACCCACATCAAGTTCTGATTCATTTGAAAGTGATAATGAAGAGTATAGTAATGACCTTAAAAGTGATAGTGGAAGTGACATCATTCGTTCTAAGAGATTACGAGTTATTAGTGATAGCAGTGATGATGATGAAGTAACTGCAAGTAACCTCCGATGGCGATATTACTGATGAGTTTTTATCTCGTAGGATACAATTTTTTCGAAACGAAATCGAATACTTTTTTTGAAGTACCTGGACCAAAGCATGCCCCTTCCTCCTTGATGCGAAACCAATTGAATATTTCAATAAATTTTTTTCAATTTTCAATAATTTTTTTTTTTTCAAGTATACTAACCAACAGCAGCATCTTTGCATTCTCGAATACAAAACAAGAAGCGCTATCGCGCTGCGCCGTATTTTTGGCATATGACAAGTGAAGCATGCCGTGGACTCAAACGGTTAATTACATAGCTAATTTTGCTTTCGCTAAGAGCTATTTCGTAAATTGTGCTTTATAGCATCATACTTTATTTTTCCGATTCAAAATATTGTATATAATAAGTTGCCAAAATGAAACTTTATATGACAGCAAAAAATAATAATGTTTTATTTTAATGTTATTTTGAAATATAATTTCAATATATTACCTTTATTTTAATGAAATTTATCAATGTTAGGATGTTTAAAAAAAAAGTCAAAAATTTCTCAGACCTCGGAATTAAAAATTTTCTATAGAAACTGATCTTAAAATTGCCAAAATGTTGATAAGCTGCCACATTTAGAACCGTTTAATAAAAGAATTTACATCCCCCAAAATCGAAAAGTTGTTTAAGAGCTTCTTTATTAGAAAAAACGTGAATTTCGAAATGCTTATGTTTCACTTCGTACTTTGAAACTCGAGTATCCCATCATTATATTAGAAATAGAAACATGACCCATGTACATGACCTAAAGCCCATGAACCTATTGAAAAGATAACCATATACATCAGTGAATTGCAAAAAATATTTCCTCCAAAATGCTAATTCACACTCAAAATGGCAGTTGTAAAAACAGACAGAAATTTCAGATGATTAAAATTAAGGAATTTTAAGTACCAAAAATCAATTCAAAAAAAATCTAAGGACTGTATGAACCCTGTAATATATTAATTAAAAAATAAATTATTCATATTGAAATTTTCTTGGAGTTTTTATTACGTTTTGGTAGTTTTATTCTCGATGCAATTATGATTTTTGAACATTTAAGCAATTGTATTGTCGGTATGAGGGCATTGGAGAACTCATGAACTTAATGGCTTAAGCGTTGTTTGGCATTTGTAAAATAATAATAATAATAAAAAAAAAAGCTTAAAACTATATGCATGATTAAAAATTTTCTTTTTATCATTAAAGCAGAAATATAATAATCTACTAACATACTATTGAAGCAAATATTTTAAACTGCAGATAATCATTCAGGAAATTAGAATCTACAAATCATTCATGTTCATGAAATTTTTGGATTTTAATATCTGACATTTAAAAAAAAAAGTAAGAGACAAGTATATATAATCGTTGAAAAAAGTACTTAATTCATACATAAAATATGAATGCAAAGATAAGTAGTATGCCTAATAAACTTGCATTCTGAATTAGACATTTTTTTCCTACAACACTTTTACATTTGCCTGTATGTTTATTTTTCCATTGAGAACAGCTTCAAAAGTTGTACCTAAATTTGGCCAAAAATACAGTATGATTATATGTGTATGTGGGTGTAATATATAATAGAAAAAAATGCTTTCAGAGGTTATTTGAATGAGGATTTTTATTTATTTTTCACTTAAAAATTCTGATTCTTAATCCTAATAAAATACATTTTTATGAAAAAACAATCATGCAAGCATAAATTTGCGAGATTAATAATTTGGCTCCGCAGCTGAGGACTGTCTGCTTGGCATTACATCTCAAACCGAAACATTCACCTATTTTATATCCCTGACGCCGACTTGGTGAGTCATTATTTATTATATTTTGCTTTCATTACTGCATGTTTATCAATACATGACATCTTCAATAATATCTCATGCAGTGATTTCTTAACTTTTTTTATATTAGTAATTTAATAAGAAGAGTATGGCAACCTTTTATGCTAACATTACGCTTGGCGATGATTATAGATTTTTAAATGTTCTAAGAAATGTTGATGAGGAAAAATGCAACAAAAATTTCTTTTCATATGCTAAAAATGGATTTTGTTAATTTTGTTAATGAAACTCATAGGTCAAAAGATTACATTTAGTGCTATTTTAATTAAGAATAACTGCTATGTTATTCACCATAAACCCAGAAGCGGCGACAGAATTTAGGGAAGACAAAATTTTTGGAATTTGGGAAAGCACCGAGCGGCAAAATTAAGAGATGAGAATTTTTTGATGATTTAGGAAAAGCGCTGGGCTCCAAAGTTTAGAATTTAAAACTTAGGGAGGTGCTTTGTAGCAGAATTTAGGACCTGTAGAGACTGCACCAAGCAGTATCTAGCGCCGGCCCTAGATAAAGCCTTAAGTACATGTGGGAGTTTATTCAGGACTCAGATTAGTTTTCAGCATGTGGAAGAGTAAACATAGGTATAGTAAATAATAAACTAATACTATTCAGGCTTAATTCAGTACGCAATAGAAGCAAGACAAAATTTAGCGAAACGACTTGGCTTTCATCGCTAATCTTGTGATACACAGACAATAATGTACGCTATTAAGCTAGGCTAAAATTATCTTTACTGATTCTAAGGCATTTCAGTTAATGTAGCAGAATGCGCTGCTCCCTAATCTTGTAATTTGATCCAGCTTATTATTTTTTGCAGACTGTTATTATTACGGCAATTTTATAAAAACTAAGCTTGAAATTTCGATTATGTCAAAAAGAGTTTCCGGTAAAATCATAGTATACGATGCAGCCTTTGGCGCGATTTTTAAAATTATCGCCATCACCAAAATGACCCGTTTACTACTCATCATATATGTCCCATTTACTGCTAATTATCGCCAAAAGTAGCCAAATCCCGTGTGCACCAGATACTAGGATTAAACCGAGTTTCCAATTCTGGAGCTGCCAAAGGATCTACAAAGCGAAACCATGTTTCGATGTCTACAAAAAGTGGAACTGCTGCAAAAAATGGATAAAGGCATAGCCGTCTCAAAATTGTGTGAGGAGTACGGCATTGGAAAGTCAACTGCATGACATAAGAAAAAAGAAAAAGGAACATTTTGAATTTTTGGTGCAAGCAACTTAAACAACTTACATTGAAAGAAACGTTTAATAAAGTAAACAAATAGATAGTAAGCTTTTTTTTGTAAATTTTGATACCCTTTAGATCATAATTCTTCTTTATTTCATAAATTACGATTTCATACTGTATAGTTTCTGCATGCTATCTTACCAGATTTAAATTGATGATCTAATATCCGGAAAAATCCCTAATCCGGAATCGCCGAAGTTCCGACGAGTCCGGATTTTGTACTGTATGTATATATATATAAATTTAGTTCCCGTTTTCATTCGGCCCAAAATAACAGTTTGCAGTTCAGTTCCAAATGAATATTTTAACTTTTATTTTATGTATATTCTTATTTGTACTAAATATAATTCTATCATAAACAAAAAATGTAATTCTATCAAAATTTAGAAGATTTTATTATATTTAGTTATTATTTATTTTATAGAAGATTTAGTTATTGATGGTTTCTTTAAACCCACGCTTCTGGGGAGGAAAGAAGTGTGTATTTGTTGATGTTTTAAACCATGTTAATTCAAAATCACATAAACGTAAGCATTGAAAAAAAGGTTTTGGTATATTTTATTCAATTAGTATGTAATCGAACAAATCATAGACAAGTTTTAAAATAAATACTGAGAAAATGTGCTATCAGTATACAGAACCAATTGATTTTAAAATTTAATACACAAGTACTTACGTTATCAGTAATTCAATATTGAGGTGCAAAACAAAAGAATAGAGAGCCAGTTAAGAGTTACATGTGATTTTTAATGTATTATTTTTTTACTTGACTATTTACTTCTAGTTGACCATTGTACTTACTCTCCATGAATTTATACCGAATGTCATTAGCCTTTATACATCTTCTGACCAATTAGAGAAACTTATTATTATGCGTACATCACAATCCCTTTCTTTCTTAGGGCGTTGCTGCACTGGATACTTACTGCTGAGCAGCTGGTTTGTCCATCTCAACAGCCTATACAAACAACTGTGGATGATAGCATGCTGAGATGCGAAAAATATAATTCAGACTGATATTTTTCTTAAAAAGTCATCTATACTTCTAGTTCATTCAACAGAATTAAATTTGCTTTCTACAAGTGGTTTCATGCGGAACTGAAACAGAAAAGTACTAGTGAACATCAAAACAGGAAATCGAGAAGCAATGTACATGTAATGATGATAATTATATGGTTGACATTGAATTAGAAAATATTGATAAGTTAGTTACAGTGATAAAATGACTGAAGATACATTGAACGGAAATAAACCAATGTTTTTTGTCGTTTCAGTTCCAGTTTTTGTTCTGACCAAAATAAAGTTTTTCTCCACTTTTCGGTTCAGTTCTGGTTCGAAGCTCTGATTTATACATAAAGTACTGTCATAAAATTTTAATTTGTTTTAATTTTGCTCCAGGAACAGATTTAGGTATTTTAAATGACAAATGCTTGGTTTACGAACATTTCAGGTCAAGGAGAGCCTTGGGAAATGAACAAAAGTTTCACTACATCTTAAGTCAACGTTCAAGACATGAGAAGTGGAGGATAAATAGAATGGCAGATAAAACACATTTTCCCCTTTTTATATGCACTGTATAAAGAAGTAAGATTAATTGCACAAGTTCTTTCTTCAGACTAAGTAATAACAAATTATATTTTTTTTACTGATTTCAAATTTAGTGCGTAAACTGCTCTTGAATGCAAAGCTACAGGAATATATAAACAATAATTTCTGAGCAATAAATAACAAATAAAACATAAAAATAACAACAGAACATAGCTTGATTTATTATTTAGAAGTAAATACGAATTAAAACAACGAAAATAAATTAGTTCAACATAAATTCATGTAGAAAACATCAAAAGATAATTGTGACATTAAAAACTTTTTAAGCCTAATTTCAAAGATGCTTCTGACAGTAGCAAGTTTCTGGATTCAAAAAGCAGTTCAAAGCCCCTGAGAAAGAAAGTATGACAGTATTATGCTTTCAGAATACAAAATAATATGTAAAATTTGCAAAATTATACTATTAAAATGAATTAAATGCAGCCTTAATCACTTAAAGAAATTGCATCATTTTTTAATGTAGTACAGCTATTTGATTATTAGCAAATACTATTTAAATATCTGAAGGTATGGTAAAAAAAAAATTATTTTTCATACTATTGTATGAATCCATTTTTTTTTATTAAGACAGTGTCAAAAGGCAATATAGTCATAAGTTAATATGCTTTTCTTGTTATTTTTTGTAAAATCCAATATATATATTTACATCACATATGGCCATGTTTTTTGTCCAATATATAAGCATTCCATAAACAGATGTCTAGAAGTCATCTAGAGCAGTGTTTCTCAACCACCGGTCCGTGAAATATCCATCTAACTGTCCAAATTCCAAAGTATCATTGGCCGACAACTGATATTGCAACGGCACCTACATTACAATAATAATAGTTTGCTAGTATAGAGAAAATAATATGATCGATGATGAAAAATATAAAAACTGACAAGTGTATACCTAATTGCCTTTCATAAATTACCAATGCCGTACACTTAGTACACCAGTTAGTGTTCCCCTGTCTGCCTTGAGTATCGCTAATTCATTGAACGCTGAATATCTATCGTAGTGTTTAAGGTGTCTTAGATTAGGTTTTGCTTTTTATCTTGCTTACATTCTTCTGCACACTTTTAATAACTTCTGAATTTAATACCGTACTATAACTCCTATTTATGTAACTTTAGGTAGATTTAAAAATCAATAACCAGGATGAGTAAGAAGGAAACGAATGGCACATTACTAAATTTCGTGCAAAGAAAGAATTCTCCAAAAACAAGTAGGCCGTCAGCCCCTTCGAATACAGATGAAAGTGAATATAGTCCACAATTCACCCCCCAAAAAATATTGTAAGGCACTATTTCATAGACTATTTGAAATATGGTTTTGTCCTTTGGCCACAATCATACGAAAATTGTCCAAAACCTGAATGTGTTGTTTGTAGAGATGTTCTTTCCAACGAAAGCATGAAACCTTCCAAGCTTTCGCGGCATTTACAAACAAAGCACCCACAACTGGAAAGCAAACCCCTGGACATTTTCCAGAGGAAAAGTTTGGAGATGAAAATTCAAAAGGATGCTTTTAAAAAATGTTTCTCGGTTGATAAATTACTTTTAAAAGCATTGTGTTTAGTTGCTCTGCGTATTTCCAAATCTAAGAAACCACAATCAGTTGCTGCAGAGCTTGTCAAACCTTGTTTGATAAAGGTGTGTTGTTGATCAAGCTGCTGCAAATAAACTGAAAACTCTGCATCTGTCCAATGATACTATTGGACGAAGAATATGCGAGTTATCATATGACATAGAAAGTAAACTGCTGCAAGATATTCGTAAATGGAAATGTTTTGCTGTCCAAATTGATGAGTCAATAGACGTCTCAAATAATGCCATATTATTATGTTATGTTTGTTATATTGACTATGCAATCAATGATATTAGAGAAGAATTGATGTGCTGTATCGAACTACCATCCCAAACAACCAGTGCTGAAATATTTAAGGCAGTTAAGAATTACATTGACAGTAACTCCAGTGACTGGAAAAAATGCATCGGTTTGTGTACTGATGGCGCTGCTGCTATGACTGGAATACATACAGGTGTTGCAAAGAGAATAAGAGACATGGCATCAGAAGAATTATTAGTCGCACACTGCATTATTCATCGTGAAAATTTAGCAGAAAAGAAATTGTTCCCACAACTGAATGACATTGTTCTGGAATCGGTAAAAATTGTAAATTTTATCAGAAGTAACACCCTTAATTCAAGATTGTTTACAATTTTATGTCAAGAAACTGGATCCGATCATGTACAATTATTCTTGCATGCCGAAATACGCTGGCTATCCAGAGGAAAAGTCCTTAACTAGTTGTACATAGTTGAGAAATGAGGTACAATTGTTTTTAAATCAGAAGGGATCATTATTGAGCAGACATTTTCAGAACAAAGAATGGGTAGCCTTGCTTTCATACCTATCAGACATATTTTCACTGATAAATGAACTAAATTTAAGTCTTAAAGGTAAAAATAATACCTTTTTCAACTTCAATAAGATTGATGCTTTCAAGAAGAAATTGAAACTTTGGTACAAATGTGCGGAAGAAAACACTTTTGATATGTTTGCTGCTTTCTTCGATTACATTAATGCTAATGACATGGATCAGAAGAGCATTACCAGCTTCATTTTGGAGCATTTAAATGAACTTTCCAAGGCTTTTGATCAGTATTATCCCCCAGAAGAAGATGTGTGTTTAGGTAATCTGTGGATAATCAATCCATTTATTGATAATTACAATAACAATCTTAATACAAGTCGAGGAAACAGACTTAAATCTAGGACTTAAATCACAGTTCAATTCAGTAAATATATATCACTTCCGGATAAAGACTGCAACAGAATACCCCCAATCTTCATGCAAAGGCGTTAAAATTTTATTGCCTTTTTCCACAACTTATTTGTGTGAAATTACGTTTTCGGCTATGACTGTTATTAAGACAAAACACTGAAATCGACTTGCTCTTTCGCCTGCTTTACGTGTTGCTGTAACTGGTTTAACGCTTAAGATTGACACTTTAGTCAAAAACAGAGACCAGCAGCAATCTCATTGATATTAGTTTTTATTTCCTTTAATTTGGTAAATTATTTTTTTACCTATTTTGTATCTAACTATGCTGTTTTCATTTCGATTCATTGTTGTTTTTGCTAATATATTAATTAAAAAAATAAATATATCATTCATATTGGAATTTTCTTGGAGTTTTAGTTAAGGTTTGGTAGTTTTATTCTCAATGCAATACTTTAAGTAAGCTGAATGTACATATGTAAATTACAGTCAAAAGTCGTTAATTCGGACTCGTCGGGACTTCGGTTCCGGATGATTTTTCCGGATTATAGATCATCAGTTTAAATCTCGGTAAGATGGCATGCAGAAATTCTAAAATTAAAAATATGAAACCGTAATTTATGAAATAAAGAACAATTATGATCTAAAGGGTATCAAAATTTGCAAAAAGAAAAAAAAAAAAAAACTTAATATTTATTTGTTTACTTTATTAAACATTTCTTTCAATGTAAGTTGTTTAAGTTTTGCTTCGTTTTCATGTGATAATACTTTCTCTTTAATTCTATTAAACAGACATAATTTCTTGTTCAGTTACAAAGTTCCGCCGTTCAAGTCCTATAATTGCTGTGTCCGAAGAACACCGACTAATTTGTCAATCGAAATTTTTTTGTTTTCAATAACCTCTGTCACTTTTCTTCGCTATCGGAAGCGAATTATAATGACGAGGAACTTGTTTTAAATCATATCAAAGACGGAGCATATCGAGATGAAATACTACATTTGGTAAGGAATTATAAGCCAAATAAAATAAAAACATCTGCGCTGAAGATAAGGATAGTGCTGACAAATCAACTTCCAATTCATTAGGCGCCCGCCGCCGAGCAGCGTGAAATTGATAAACAGATTTCGGATTTCAAACATACTTTCGCTTTAGATTCAAATTTACATATTAACAAATATATATCGGAAATTCTATTTGATATAATCGAAAGTTTAAGCTTACTTTTATAAAATTGCTCTTACAGTCTGCAAAAAATAATAAGCCGGATGCATTTCGAAAATTAAGGAACAACGCAATCATCAACATTAACTGAAATAGATAATTAGATAATTTTAGCTTATACGTCCATTATACATAAAATGCGCACGCGAAAACGTATTCTGCACTTGCGCACACTCATATGCGCAGTCGTAAAAGGTCTTACGCGCACGCGTGAATGCCTCTGCGCATGTGTCAACGTGGCGCATGCGCAGAAAGTTTTTAGTTTTGATGTCCGGATTATAGATCATTCCGAATTATGGGTGTCCGAATTAACGACTTTTGACTGTATAACAAATGCTTTAAAAATTATTTTTGTATTCATGATTTATTTATTTATGTGAAAAAATTGTACCAATGGTTCAAATTATTAAACTTACCAGTCCGCGAGAATGTACCGAAATATTTTACCGGTCCTTGGAGTAAATCCAGTTGAAAAACACTAATCTAGAGAACTTTCACTAATCCTAGACTTATTTATAGATATTTTCAGATTCTGAATCGGCCATTATTTTATGCTAGAAAACAGTTTTGGCTACTGCTACTTAATAAAGTTATCAAATCGGTAGTAAAATAAATGCGAAAAGCTCAGCACTGGAAGATAAAAATTCATGAAACAAATAGAAAAGAATAGAAAAGATGTGGGCAAAAGAGCAAAAGTGACAAAGAAATGAGATACAAGTGGCGTACAGGGAAAACAGGCAAGTGGTTAATTGACTTAGTTCTTTGGAATGTACATTTGATTTCAGGGAAAAGAAAGAAAGTTAATTGATTCAAGAATAGGAAACGTGAAACATATAAATAAAATGCTTAAAAAAGATGATCAAATGATAAAAAACAATTCATACAAGTTCTTCAACTTGAACCGACTGTAACAATAGTGATAAAGGTTTCTTTCACTACTCCATTTATTATCTTTGGATTTCAGGATATAAAATCGAAACTCAAGAGATTTCTTATTTGTTTCGATTCGTTTCTCAAATATCAGAATGAATATGTTCACTCTTTCTCCCTTCATGAGCTAGAAACTTTGCAGCTACCTGGAAAATTATACTCAGGAATGTCATAAAATAACTGCTTGAAATATTTCTGCAGTTATTCTAACACTGAATTGGCAAGCATTCAGAGTGGTTCCTTCTTTATACTTTTTTCTTTGAAAATTAAGTAGTGGTATATTTTTGGCAAATGATCATGCAGAAGCATCAAAAAGATGTTTGGATTTTCACTTTTCAAATACCGTATATACGCACGTATAAGTCGACCCCCCACTTCAACATAAAAAATTCGTAGAAAATAAGAAACCCGCGTATAAGTCGACCCCCCACTTCCGAAATCGATCGAGAAACTTCGAAACATTTTTTTTAAGTACTACATTTATTCAACATCATATGAGAAAAAAAGTAAATATTCAACATCATCTGATAAAAAAATTATATATAATATAAAAAATAAATAAATAAATATAAGTTAAAAAATACCTTGGTAAATAAACAAAATCAAAATCCTTCAACGTCTGATTCAATGGTCAGATTCGCCAAACATTTCATAGAACTCTTCAGTAGTCATTGGCTCGTCATCATACATAATTTCAGTCTCGAACTCTGTATTGTTACAATCACTACTAGAGCCTTCGTTGTCATTTTCACTTTCAAAAACAGCATCATCTTCCGTGCCGTCTAGTTCGTTGCTAATATAACACTTTTTAAATGATTTTATAATCATTTCAGAGGGTATTTCATTCCAAGCATCTTTAACCCACTGAGCAATTAATGTAATATTGGGCTTTATAATGTTGCCTCCCTTTGTAAATGTTGGTTGACCGAAACTAATCCATTCTGCCCAATATTTTCTAACATTTACTTTGAAGGGCTTATTGAGGCAGACATCTAGGGGTTGAATGACGGATGTCAATCCTCCCGGAATTACGGCCACACTCGTTTTTAGGTGTTTTTGACGTGTACGCCTGTTAACAAAAGTATATCATGAATGAACAATAACTATTCTAAAGACTTATACGTACGTAAAAACTATCTGCATTTCTCTTTTCTTGGTGTGTTGGCGAAACTTTTTTATTGCTCGATATTGAGCGGTTGTTCGGGGGTTCGGGGCAGAGAAATTCTTTGGTTTTTTAATCGAAACTTACTCTAGTTAAAGTATGAAACTCTGTGATTAGTTCGTCATATAATTTAAGTCATGAAATTACTTCAAGTAAGTGACTTACTTGATAAGTCGTCCAATTTGAGTGCGGGAAGAAAACAACTGCATTGTATAAAGAAATTTTTGAACTTCCGATTCTTCTAATTTTTTATGGCCCCGTGTATAAGTTGACCCCCCCCACTTTGAAGTCTTTATTTTGCCCAAAATATCTCGACTTATACGTGGGTATATATGGTACTTCAATTTTACCCTAGCTTATACACATGATAGACACATATATTTTCTCTCTAATTCGCAGTTAAAAAGATACAGCATCTGCTTTTTTTCGTTTCTCAAAAATTTAAAACTACTATACTAATTGCTCCTTTAATTAATTTTCTCAGTGTGGTATAAAAAACCATTGACTTTCAAGAAAAAGTAAAAGAAAATAACTCTATGAACGATAAAAAAAGACTGGATTTGTAGATTCATCCAAAATCAATAACACAATATTCAATTTACTCTTTATTTAATAGCTCCATATCTTGTATATCCATATCTTAAAAACCATTTTAAATACATGTGAAATGAAATGGGAACTTCACCATTTAACACTTTTATATAGAATGTACGCACATGAAAAAAATTCCTTTAGAACTGGGTTTATTATTATGATGCATATGAGAAAATAATCTTTTAAAAAATAAACTTGATACCACTTATTCTCCCTTTAATATTATTTTAAATACAATCTATGGGAAAGATAAAGTGAATTATTACTCTGATGGCGATAAAAACTTATTTTAAACTTCTGTTTAATATTAAAGATACTTTGGAAACATTTCTCATTAACTGCGGTATGAAAGTAGGCGTTATTTGGAAGGAAATAACATACGGAAGAAAGGAGAATTTTTAGCACATTTATGAAGATCACAATACAGCTTAAATTTTCATGATTACTTGAAAAAAAATTAAGAATATGAAATCAAGGTCCAAATTATATGTACAATCATTTTTACATTTATAATTTTAATAGCTTCAGAAGAAAGAATAATTCCTGGACATTTTACTTAAAACTGCATTTTTACACACAAAAGTATTTTCTTTAGAAAGTCAGCACTAACACTTGCCCTACTTACTAATGAGTATTTCTTTCTAACTTTATATTTATAAGTATTTAAATATTATGATCCAGAACAATTACCACAGTGTAAAGATAAGATTTAAAGGATCTGATATTTTAATTTTAAATTGTTACCTCAACAACTTTTCCATGTAGATAAATGATAATCTAATATAAAGTTTGCAAATATTCTTCTAATGAAGTAAAATGGATACAATAAGTGTAAACAGCAGTTCTGTATCTTATTTCTGTGCAGTAATATTATTCAATAACATTAAAATTAACACACACAAAAAAAGTAGTCTCAAATACTGATTGATCTACAAAATCTAAAGAAAAACTAATCATATCATTCCACTTTATGAAATTAGTTACTAACTGCTATAACAAAATTTAAGAGTTATATTCATACCTTTTGAGGGTTTCAGCTATTAATTTTATGTCATCTGCAAATAAATTATGGGTCTCAGCCAAAGAAAATATTTCCGCAAGGTTAGGAATCTTGTTCATAAGAATATCCAAAACATCATTCATATTTTGGAGCATCTGATTTATGTCATCTAATAAAACACATAGGGTTGTAAATAAGATTAACATAAAAAAGTCATATTTAAAATTAAAAAAAAAAATTGAATAAAGTTTTAAAGAAGCTGCCTGCAAGACAAGGGGTGACTAATTTTTATTATAGATAAATCAGTAAAGCATATTACATAATGAAAATTTTTTTACTTAAACAATAAGAAAATATAAATTACAATAAAAAGCTAAATAATGTCAAAACATTCTGAAAAGTATACAATTAAAAAAGAATGCAAAATATTTCATGCATCTAGTAAATTCACTAATAATAAACTATATAAAAAACTGATAAAAATACTTTACTGAGATTAGAAAATGCATGTGACAAAACTGATAGCAGACAAAAGATAACATTTTTATGCATTATTTTTCAAGTTATAATCATAAATAAAAGTCCGGAAAGTTTTGCGGTTTTTCATATCGAAGCATGTTTTCAATTATTTGGTTACTCATTAGGAGTGAATTTGATCAAAGCAAATGTTTAAATACAGTCTTTTCTGTTCAAGTTATATAATTCTGGCATGTGTCGTGGCACAAGTTTTGCTTTAGTAAAGTGCTAAGGATCAAGAACATTTAATAAATTAATTTCCATCATATTACACTCTTTTATTTTACAAAAGGTAGAAATGCTAGCCAGACTGCTTATAAAATTTGTACTCTATGTGGGCAAAGTTCTGTTCCTGATGACATAGTTCGAAAGTGAGAGGTTTAATTGCCGAAATTTCAGTCTGGAAGATGATGCCCACTCTGAATGACCACTCTGTATAAACAAGGATCTATTAAAAGATGCTATCTCTGAAAATCCATGTTTCACAGTTCAGGGACTCAGCCTCATATAATCAAATCTTGCTTAATGAGCACCTCCCATAAAGCGTAAGTTACATAACAAGCAACACAGAATGTAAAAAAATTACTTGCTTAACGAGCAGTGTTTTGCAAAACGAATGATGTGGAGACATTACGACATCACATGCAGGATCCTGCCAGCATTTCAAGCTATCAGTCTATATTTAGCTCTTGTTCAGCAAGCACTTCACAGTCGTTTGTGAAAATTATATTTAGATACATTATTGTAATTTTTTACTGTGAAGTTTAAGCATGATTACATGATTGTTCCGAAAGAAAATGGAACAAGAAGATAGGGGTAAGAGAAGAAAAACCACCATAAGTCAAATGGCAAATCATTGAGAAGCGAAAACAAGATGTGAGTATGGTAGACCTGGCATGCATATATAATTAGTCTACACCAAAGCTCAGTTTGCAATCTCTTCAAAAACAACGGTAAGATTAAGGAGATTTATGCTTCAAAGGATGTCACAGTACTTCTATACAAAAGTCATGCATTATCGGTGTTGCTGAAAGATCACCAAGAAGCAAATGCAAGGCGACACTATTACCAAAAACATGATTTGTGGTAAGGCTAAACTAATTTTTGACAAACTCATCAAGACACCAGAATCATCAATGAACGAAGAAGAAGCATTTAAGGCAAGCCAGAGTTGGTTCGAAAAGTTTAAGAGAACTGGCATCCACAGTGCTGTGAGGCACAGAGGAACAGCAACCTCAGACATAAAGGCAGCCAAGAACTTCATCAATGTATTTAAGAAGCTTGGGAATTCTGAGGGTTATCTGTCACACCAGGTCCATTCTAGAAAGATTCCAAAAATAACTTATATTAAAAGCAGAGGAGAAGGCATTGCCAGGCTATAAGCTAATGAAAGATTGTCTCGTACTGTTGGTTTGTGCAAGTGGAAATTTCAAATTAAACCACTTTTTTTTTTTTTTTTTTTTTTTTTTTTTTACCATTCGGACAATCCATGAACCTTCAAGAAGAGCATGCTAAATGCCATGAAGAGTTTTAACAACAAGGCATGGGTGATGCATTTTCACAGATTAGATCAATGAAGTATTTGATCTGTCTGGAGGGGGGGGAATTCTACTTGTGATGAATTTGCCACTCTGTGCTTTTCTCATTATGGACAACACTTCTGCACATTCTCCAGGACTAGAAGATAACTTCCTTGAAGAATTTAAATTCATTAAGATCCAATTCCTGCCTCCCAACACTACTGCAGCCCAAGGGCCAGCAGAACATTTAAAATTTTAAAAAGCTCTACACTAAAGTGCCCTTTGGGCACTGTTTTGAGGTAACTGAAGGAATCCGTCTTACTTTCAGAGTTTGAAAAGACCACTTTCACATTATTGCCTGCCTCAAGATGATGGACAAGGCATGGAAGCGGGTCTTAAGAGAACACTTTTTTTCTGAATGGTAGAAGCTTCGTTAAACATGGCAACAAGATGTTTGAGCAAGTGCTTGTAGAGCCAGAAATCAATAAGACTGTATTTCTGGTCAAGATTATAGGGCTAGAGTTAGATATCAATGAGCTAGTTGAAGAGTATAGCCAGGAGGTGAACACGAAAAGCTTATAAGTGCATTCTATCAAGGCAAGAAATTGTGGCGATTTCATCAGAGGTGGAGGATAAAGTTATGGGGAAGGCTGTTAAAAACAGCCTCAGTAAAGAAACAACCTTCCAATAAAATAAGGGAGATGTTGAAAGCACCAGAAACTGTTGCATGTGGATTTGAGAAACATCATCCTGTGCCCAGAACTGACCACTCAACGTGGTGTCATCTTCTACTATTACAATGCTCAGCTCCATATTTCAATGAATGTCAGATGAAGACTTTTTGAGTGTGGCTGGGGTGTTTTGTGTCATTTCCGTCTCCATATCCACCAGACCTTGCCCTCTCAGGCTTTTCATCTTTTCAGGTGACATCAACATTCTCTGAACCGCCTGGAGTTCATTTCTTTTGGGACTGTTGAACAACACCTCCATATCTTTATAAATAAATCTAACGACTTTTTTAAAAAAGGAATTTTCCAGCTGCCAGGGAGAGATGGCAAAATGTCACAGAACTGAATGGTGTTAATGTGATTCAAAGAAATTTTCTGACGTTTTTGTACTACTGTTTTATTTGAAATTATTTAAAAAGAATTAAATAAATAAATAAAAAAAACTGCATAACTTTCTGGATGACCCAACATACAATTACCTTCTTGTTCTGGCTTTAGTTTTATTACATCTTTAATATGTAATTTGTGTCTCTTTTTGTCAACAGCTTTGGCAATATCTTCATATTGGCTTTCAAGACTAGGAATAATTTCAAGAATAGGCTTGAGAATTTGTTCCTATAAACGAATGTCGCTTGATTAGTAAGAGGGGAGGCATGTATGTTTATATCACAGGCAACATGATTTTTATTATTAAAAAAAATCTGAAAGGTTTTAGATTTTAAATTACGTCCAAAGGGCCTTTTTTTTTTAATATTTCGTGTGTTACCTTTATTTATTAAATATCATGCTCTCCGCACTTAAACTGTTCACCTCTTTTGTGAAGGGGGTGGAAAATTTGACTCCACACTAATTAAAAAATCGGTGCCGCCATTCAGGACAAGACATTCCTACTTACTATACACCTCCATCGACCTCCAACGACAACACATCTCTATCAGGATTCCAATTCAACCCTAGGTCTTTCAGCTGTTAAACTCCCACTCTCTCACTGTCACTAAGTCCATTTTCTATCCACAATTTTTCTAATTCTCTACTGATCGACCTCAGTTTCCTCAAATTAAATCCACCTCTCTTTAATATTGATACAGCATACGACGACAACTCAAATGATTCTTTCCCACTGTCTCCACTATAATATAAATCATCTACGTAAAGTGATGAATTTAACTTCTCAAATGACTTCGGTTTACTTTCGCCATATTTTTTTTAATATGATGCTTTATTGTAGAACTCAAAATGAAAGGGGAACTTTTACATCCAAAGGGTAGTCTTTTCATTCTCATAATTTTATATTCTTCACTAGAGTTATCTGAATATCAAAGAAATTTTAAGAATTTTCTATCTCTTTCAGAAATGGATTTAAATTTGGGTCAATTTCCAAATGATCATTTAAAGAAAGATTAGCTTTAGACTTTGAACTACAGTTAAAAAAGACTATACGAACTTTGGTTGTTTCTTTATCTTCCCTAAAAACTGCTCTATGAGGCATAAAATACTCATCTCTCTCACATTTTTCAATAACTCCATTTTGTTTTTGGTAATTTATTATTTCTCTATACTCATTAGCAACCCAATAATTTTTAGAAAAATCCTTTTCTAACTCATCCAACTGCTTTTTAGCTAAAAAATAATTATAATTATTATTTTTAATAATTTATTATACACTCACGTTTGTGAAAATTGCAACACCAAGAAGGAATCGTCATAATTGAATGCAATTTAATACCACGTTGAGTGGTAGTGGTACAAATAAATGATTAAATGTTCAAAGGAAACAACCAATAACAAGAGATCAGAATCAGTATTTTGTGTGGCCACCACCGCCGCAATAAGTGCTGCTACACGACGTGGCATGGAGTCAAACAAAGTTTGAATGTCTGACTGAGGAAGAGCATTCCATATCGTTTGTACGCGTACCCAAAGTTCGTCTGCAGACGCAACAGGACGAGGATCACGAGCAAGACGCCGACCAATGACATCCCACACATGTTCAATTGGCGACATATCCGGGGAACACGCAGGCCAAGGAAGAAGCTGTACCTGCTGCGCTGCAAAGAAGGATTTAACAATCCGAGCAATATGAGGGTGGGCATTGTCCTGTTGAAATACAACGCCTGGCAAGCTTTGAAGGAAGGGAACAGCTTCGGGCTGTAGAACTTCACGGATATACCGGTTGCTGTTCAGATTGCCCACAATTCGTAGCAATTGAGATCGTCTATGATATGCTATGGGCGCCCCCAGACCATAACTCCCCGGGTGTTCGTCCACTGTGGCGTTCGATAATGCACTCCGGAAGGTGGCGTTTTCACCGGCATAGCGTCTGACACGAATGCGGCCATCATGGTACCAACAAATTAAAGCGGGATTCGTCAGAAAACACGACATGCTGCCAATCAGCACGCCAGTCTCTATGCTGATTGGGCCCATTGTAGCCGCAGGTGGCGATGGTCGTGCGTCAGGGGGATCCTGTATAAGGAGTCCGTGCGCGCAGTCCACACTGCAGCAGACTCTACGAATTGATGAAGCACACAATGAAACACCTGTAGCTATTGACCACAGTGCTGCCAATTGTCTAGAGGAAGCTGTACGGTCCGTCCGCGCCATGCGGACCAGGCGTCTATCATCGCGAGCTGACGTCACATTTCGGGGTCCACTCCCGATTTCCGAGTTGTCCGACACTCGTCCGTCACCTTCCAACTGCTTCCAAACGCGCATCACTGTGCTGCTGTTACGCTGCACACAAGAGGCTACTGCCGATACGACAATCCAGCTTCAACGAAGGCCGATGATTCTCCCTCGTTCAAACTCTGTAAGTTGTTTAATCTCGCTCTCTTTCGTCGACGAGGCATAAGTACAGATTGAGTTAACGTTTACCACTAGCAGATAACCACCGATAACCATACACGCCTCGCTACAACAGCCGTCTATTTATTATTCGATCCATTAGCCGTTCAGAGGGCGCTGCTCAGCAATACGCATGCGCTAAACGGATTTGCAATTCTAATCATTTGCATATCATGCACTACTTTGCATTTCCTGAAAATTTCAGCTCACTCGCGTAAGTCCTTCATGGTGCTGCAATTTTCACAAACGTGAGTGTAGATTATACCTGACCTGAAAATGATGATTTAAAAGTTTTTAAGTTACTAATAAACACTGCCCTACAAAAGTTAAGGAGCTGCATGGTTTTCAAAGTTTACCATCACAAAAATGTCAGTAATGTTTAAATTCACAGTTCATATGCATTACAGTAATGAAGTTTAAGAAAATATATGCAAAAACAATAGCTACAACTTTTATTTTATAGAAATGAATACTTATATAGGAATTTGAGAAAAAATGCAAAAATTGTAAGTTTTGTTCACGAGTGTTGATCTGCAATTGTTATTAGCAGTTTTTTTTGACAATATCCAAGAGAAGTCCTTTGCCCAATTCATTTATGTAGAGGGTGATCGGATGGATGGAAATGGTGATGTTACACCCTGATGCTGCTAGACGTCTCAGTGTCTCTCGTAGTGTGGTCCATCGACTATGTAATCAGTTTGAATCTGAGTATTCTGTGTCTAGAAGACATGTTCCAGGCAGACCCAGAGTTACATCTGCAAGAGACTGTTATTTAGCTCTTTTGGCTCGAATGAGGCATAACATTACTGTGCCTCAGCTCATGGCAGGTAATTTAGTGGTAACAGGAACAAGAATCTCAGCTACTACAGTGTGCAAATGCCTGCACACTACAGATCTGTATGCAAGATGACCAGTTGTTTGTGTCCCTTTGACCCAAGGACACAGAGGTGCCTGTTTATGTTGGGCATCTTGAACCAGTCAACAACGGGCATCTGTTCACAGACGAGTCCAGGTTCACAATGGAGAGTGGTTCAAATCGTCAGCATTGTGGAAAGGCACAGTTACAGAGATAGTGGAATAATGGTTTAGGCTGGTGTCTCTCAGTGGTCACACTGACTTGTACGTGTTCCATGGAAGAACTTTGACTAGTGTGAGATATCCAGAGGAGATTCTTGATCAATATGTCTGCCCATATGCCACTGCTATTGGTCCTGGATTCTTTCTGATGGATGATAATGTGCAACCACATCAAGCTTGGGTTGAAGAATATCTTAAGGTCATGGTATGGACCGGATGGAAAGGCGAGCTCAATCCTCAGACCTGAATCCGATAGAGCATCTTTGGGACTACCTTGGGAGACCGGTTGCTGCTTTAAGTCCTCCTGCAAGGTCGTTATATGAGCTTGAACAAGGATTACTCCGTGTTTGGTTGCTGCTTCCCATTTCACCGACTGACAACTTAATTGACAGCATGGAATGTTGTTGCCGCCAATGTATTGCAGCTAGGGGTGGACACATTCCTTATTAGAACCCATTTTTGTAAATTTACCACCCCATTTTCCCTCAAATCTATTATATTATTTCTCCAAGACTGGATTTTTCTGCAAAGAGTGGAATTTTTTGTTGTAATTCATGTTTGTGTTGAACTTTAGACACATTCTATGTCACATTCATTAAAGAACTGTTTAGTGAACATGCCCTGTAAATTTCTTGTTTCTATGTTGCTTCATTTTCAAATTAGACACACACACACACATATATAAAGGCAATGCAATTCTTTCTCTTTTTATCTTGGGGGACAATAATAATAATAATAATCGCAGGGAATAAATGAAGCTAAGGACTATGTGCATAAATACTAACTAAGTTACCAAAGACCTGTAAAAATATTGTGATTTAAGGTTCAAAGTTTAAAACTACTAATTATATTACATCTAAGTATGCATTAACTTACATACGTAGATACTTAGATGCATCTAAGTATGCATTTCTTGCATTTTATTCTTCCCTAAATGGGCAATAAAATTCAGGGCGTTCCACACATAGCATAACTCAAAAAATGTGTCAACATGATTACAGAAAACTTATAATATATGTCTAAATTATACATATATTTTTGAAACCATACTCCTTAGATTAGTGATCATTTATTCAACACTATAATTATGATGCAAATGTTATAATAGTAAATATCTGAGCTAGAACAGTAATTAATATACCTAGATTTGAGCTCTTGCATGTCTCCTGTTGACCTGATATGCATTATTCGTAAGATATTTCATACACTTAAAAGTATCTCTTTTTATTGGCCATGTCATTAATTTTATTTAGTTGAATTAGAATGTTCCTTTGTAAGAACTTTTCAATATTTTATCAATAAAAATTAATCTATCTACAATAAGATCACAAATAATTACTTCTCTTTTTCAGGCCAAGCTCAATTAAAAAAAAAAAAAAAAAAAAAAGTATTTTTTTTAATAAATTTTCACTATAATTATATTAGGAAAACTGACTTAAGCTTTTATATATTATTAACTCGGTCTATGCAATGCTTAGAAAATTTAAGTTCCTAAAGCAACTGTTTTTTGATAAAAATCAGTAAAATCAGCATTAGCATTAATTTTAAAGTGGCTATCTATCATGAATCTTCCTCAGCAAAAGCAAGCATTCTGCCAAAGCATTTCTCTTAAAAAAAAAAAAAAAAAAAAAAAAAAAAAAAAAAAAAAAAGAGAGAGAGAGAGAGAGATGAATCACATTTTCTTTTGAAATCCATAATGTGCTTTTCCTTTTAAACATTAATATTAATTTAATTAACATTAATATTAAAGTATCATTGATTTTTTCCCCTATTTTTAAACTAATGGTGGGATGCTTCTATTACATGCCTTTATAGGTTTCTCAATTTGGTGGTGATCTGTATTGATACACTGGTAATGATTTGAGCAAGTTGCTCATTCTAGACATGTTGTAAAATTTTGCTTCCTCACCCCCGTGATATCAGGTTTTAAAATGTTATATTTGCTTTTTCTTCTCATGCTTGAATTAAAATCTATATCTAAATACAGAAGAACTTGCTTTAGAAATACAGAACAAAGTTTTAAATCTGGGTGTCCAGTACCTGGACTTAAGGTCACCAGCAGATATTTATTACTCCCTTATGAAGTCTAGGAATGGAAAATACAATATTCAAATGGGGGGAGGAAGTTTTGCCCTATAAGCGATTTTTCTCCTGACTAACTGAAGTGCCTGCATGTCTTTTTCAATTTCCTGCTGGCCAGAATAAAACCCTGGTTAATAAAAATACAATAATTAATATTGTATTGACACTGGCTACAACCATTTTCTATTTGACCTAAACTTTAAGCGGAGCTAACAAACATATTTGTTTGGAGTGGGATGTTGGTCATACTGGTTTGCATTTTTGTATAGCAGTAAGGAAGGCAGAAAGAATTAGATTCTGAGGAACTTAATGTCAGTTTAAACATAGCAATTTTGATGTTTCTTAACTTTCTGATTTGATCCCGCTTATTTTTTACAGGCTATTATTATTACTGTTAAATTAAATTAAAATTAACGGTTGAATTGTCAATTATGCAAAAAAGAGTTTCTAATTCTGGAGCAGCAGTACGATTTGCAAAGTGAAAGCATGTTTCCATGCAATCAAGCAAAAATTGTAATGGCTGCAAAAAATGGTTAAGACATTTCTTTCTCAAAATTATGCAAGGAGTATGACACTGGAAAGTCAACAGCATACAAAACAGAAAAAGGAACTTTTTGAATTTTTTGTGTGTTCCGACATTCTACTTGCAATGACTAAAAGAATGGTTAACGGTCTAATGCTAATGGCTCAAGCCAAAACATTTCATAAGAAAATTATCTTCAAAACTGAGTGCACAATTTCAAAAGGTTTGTTAAATAAATTAACGAATCGGCATGATATGAGGAAATTAAAAATTCTGAGTGAAAAAGGTTCAACTGCTACTGAAGGAACTGAACAGTTTTCAGATGAAGTCATCAAACTCATTAATAGCAAAATCTTTAAAATTAATTTATAAGGTGACAGGTCGTGGCAGTACGTGCTGCAGAATTTTTAAAACACTTGCTGCAATTTATAGGCAGCTACTACATTTCATAGTGATGATGATGATAACTCCAAATATGAAGGTTTTTAGATTTTTCACTTAATGGACTTAGTAGGCAAGTGATAATAAATGAAGATTAAACAATAGAAGTTTTCTCGTCACAATGTTGATGCCCCAATCATCAATCGACTAAATTGTAGAATGGTCTTAAATCCAGAAAATATCGATAGCAATAGTGAAAAAAGTGATAAAGAGGTTGTTGAGAATGAACAGATTTCAAGTGACATTTAATTGGGAATTCTTGACATGGCAATTACAGGACTTCAAATAATCTGGGATTTAAAATTCAAGAAATATATGGAATTGAAAACACAATTGAGTAGTATAAAAAAGTTAACTTGCACTGTAAATTAATTTATAATTTTTTTTAATGCAAAGCTGGAAGAAGCAGATAAAATTGTATTAAATGCAAGTAAATACAATAATTACTTTAACACAGTGGAAAACATTTTCACCTACCTGTTTCTCAGCATGCTCTTTACCTTTAATCATATGAGATAAGCATATAACTTGATTTTCCCAAAAAACCTTTTTTTCAGTTAGCGATTTGATAATGTGCATCATTTTGCTTAATTTCTCCTATAAAAATATTTATTTTGTTTTAAATATATACAATATAGTCCTATAATATTAAATAAATATTCTTCAGCATGCACATAATAAGCTACTACTATTCAAGAACAAAAAGTGAAAACTGAAAACAAATAAATATTTAATTAATTTTAAAATAAGCATATCTGTTATACCATATTCTTTAATTGTAATAAAATTTAACAATTAAATCTTGAAGAACAAAGAAAACTCCTTTCTTTAAATTCATGTTTATGTGTGCATCAAGAGAATGTTTTTATTTAAAAAATATTCTCCTCAAAACAGAGTCAGGTGAATTGTTATAATTTAGCTTGACACTCTTGATAAGTTAGAACAATTCTAGCTTTTCTCATTTTATAACAATGATGTAGGTAAATAACTTACAAATTGTGTACTTTTATCATTCTGCCTATCAGTGATACGATCTGAAAATAATTGCTACCTGATATAAATTTTTAAAACAATAAGTACACATTCTTAATTTATTACTCAAACTAATAACTATGCACTAAAATTCAGCTGAAACATAATCTATCCATTATACAGCATTAATTACTTTGAAATGCCTGAAAAATATCAAACAAAAATTTTATTTAAATATGCTGTTTAGGGCAAAACAAGTACTGATAATTTTTCAGGTGAACATCTTTAGTAATTAATTCCAGCTAAAGCCAAGTAATAATACTTTGACATATTTTGCATTTGACACCATTTATCTGTGACCATTATCTGCTTTCTTCAGTGACCTTTCTTTTAAAATTGGCACAATTTTTAGGTAACAGTAGTTTTATCTAATGACTGAAACCTAGGGTGATTGAACAACTGTTGTGCATACCGATAATAAATAGAATTAGATCTGTTAGTACTGAACAGGGAAGTAAGATTTTGGAATACAAAAGACAAACATTAAATATTGAAAGTAAACAATCATAGATCTGCAAGAAGTGGTAAAATTTAGAGTTCTTTTTGTCCCAAAACCTACTGATATAATTTCAGCATCACATTAGCCTAAATTCAGTTAATCTTTACAAAACTACATATCTTTATTTTATTTACATGCTACATTTTAAAATACTCCTTTGGAAACATCTTTAAATAACATATTATTACCACAGCCTCACAAAAGCAAACTAATTTTTTTCTCCTTAATTTTCATAATTCTAAACTGAGATTAAATAGCGAAGACAACATGAATTTAAGTGTGCAAAATGCAGCTGAAAATTAATAACTGCAAAATGTGAAAAATATTATACCAGTAAACAGAATTCAACTAATTAATACATGTATGTGTGTATATACAGGGTGCTTCAGAGATCATGGAACAAACTTGGAGGGGTGGTGGAGCGTACTAAAACATGCATTTTTTATAGGAATGTAGGGTCTAAAGTGACGGGTTAAGGCAGGAACGGGGTAAAAAAAAAAAAAAAAAAAAAAGGACACGAGAGGAAAATGTGCTTATGTACAAAATCAATGCAAAGTGCTTTTTGTAGCAACACAGTTTTCACAATAAATGTTCAAAATTGCAACCACCAGCAGTAATACACATGCTTGGTAACGTCGCAGAAGGGATTGACGAAAATTTTGAAAAACGACAGGCATTTTGCGCATGCTTGCAGCCGCAATGGATAGTCGTGCAACGAGGTCCTCCAGTGAGCGAGTCTCGTAAATGATGCTCTTCAGATAGACCCATAAAAAAAATCCAAGCTGGATAAATCTGGTGAATGGGGTGGCCATCAAACGGGTCCACCCCGACCAATCCATCGGCCCAGAAATGTCCCATCTAAGTAATTGCGAATCCGCACGTGGTTATGGGCTGGTGCACCATCATGCTGGAACCACATGCGATCACGAACGACAGTCGGAACATCCTGCAGCAATTCCGGTAGCACCTCTTGCAGAAACATATAACATAAGCCATTTGTTATATTTTTCTAACAAATAGCAGGTAAGAGATAAGGGCCTATGAGGTAGACGTCAACAATATCCGTCCACACATTCATGGAGAAGCGGGTTTGGAATGCATGTGGACGTGTGCCGTGTGGATTACGAGTTGCCCACACGTGCATATTGTAGCTATTGAAGATGCCTTCCTGTGAGAAGTTGCCTCGTCCGTGAATAGCACACATCCAATGGGAAATTCGCCTGCGCCGCACACTGCTGCAAGAACCAATGATAGAAATGAATTCGTAGAGAGTAATCTGTCTCTTGCAAAGCTTGGACTCTCTGCAAATGGTATGGCTGCAAACCGTTTTCATGCAATACTCTCCAAACGGTGGAATGACTCAGCTGCAGACATGCAATAGCTCTTGTATTTGTCTGAGGATCCAAGTACAATGTTCAAGATGGATTCTTCAGTGCGAGGTTGTCATGCACTTCTTCTTCCACTCTTAGTATCAGAGGTGGCTTCAAGTGACCCACTTTCACACAAAGACCGATGCAACCTCTCGAATATTGTGTGCTTCGGCATACGCCTGTTCGGAAGTACAACCATAGCGCTGCTCTGCCGTTCCCATTAGCAGCACCATACATGAGATGCATGACAGCTTTTTTCCTGAGCGTAAACTCCATCACGCTCGACATCAGAGTTGCGAATGATCCTCTGATGCATCAGACCATGGTTTGTTCGGCTCACTACCGACCTCTACCGCTGCATTGCCAGCCAATCACAGCTACAGTTCCTATTACTGTTCCCTTTTTTGAACATTTATTGTGAATAATGTGCTGCAAAGAAGCACTTTGCGTTGATTTTGTACATAAACACATTTTTTTGTGTCGTTTTTTTTGCATTCCTGCCTTAACCCGTCACTTTAGACTCTAAATTCCTATACAAAAAATTCATGTTTTAGTATGCTCCACCACCCCTTCAAGTTTGTCCCATGATCTATGAAACATCCTGTATATATATATAAAAAAAAAAAAAAAATTCCATAGATAACTTGAGATTCTTTACCATGTATTTGGATGATGAGTTCCTGTATTAACTTGGCGAAAGCTGGTAGCATCATAGATGCATAATGGAGAAGAAAAACTTGAAAAGGTGGCTGAAGACAACAGAGTATAATTTATTTCTGGACATTTAATTTATGATACATATTCTCAATCACACATCATTATGAATGTGATATGCACCCCAAAATTTTATATAACTTAAGCACACCTTTAGACAATGGATGGTACAAAGAAGGTGAATGACTCAAGCTAGCAGAGCAAGAGGAAAACAAGAATTGCAAGTGCACACTTTGCAGCAGCTGATACATATAGCATCAGTTCTTTGCTGAAATCTTTATCTGTGATTGGATTAAAACTATCTACATTGCTACACTAAAGTTTCATATATTACAAACAATTAGTAGTTTTAGGAACTGAAGGCGTAGTATTAAAGTGAATTTACAGTATTAAATTAAAATGAGGAATAAAAAAGAACTATTGCCAAATTAAAAAGAGGTACATTACTAATCAGCAGACATTTCAATGGCTTCATCAAAGATTATGTTCAATGGATTCCTTTGAGAGTTGTGCCATGAATCAGAGATAAATGTCATGAATTTTCAAAAATCAAAGAACTGGTCGTTTGTGATGCAGAAGACGCTGCACATGTTAGAGCATGAATGATCGCTTCTATCTTCTGTCTCCTTCAAACCAACATGAACTCGAACAAATCACACCCATACCATGAGCATTACGTACAGCTACTGCAGCCTGATGATTATTCATTGAGGGTAGCTGTTTTTGCTCAATAGTAACTGCATAGAGTGTAGCAGACCTCCTTTTTCCAGCTTCTATCTTATTCACAGACGAGCCAAATTTCACCAAGGAAACTTGATGCAATGCACATAACTCACATACAAGCGCGGTGGAGAGCCCCATACTATGTGAAACATATACAGCACAACACCAGTTTGTTACCAAGGTTTGGCCTGTCATTGTGAAAGACCATTCAACAGGCCTACATGTCTTGACCATTCATTAGAACTGATGGCATTATAAGATTCTTTGGAGGAAATCTTGTCTGAACTGCTGAATGATGAACAAATCCAGTAGTCACTGTTGTCATGATATAAGCACAGCTGCCAACTCTCCTGACTTTTCACCTCATCTGCTCTCCCGACGGATCCCGGCAAATCTTGCAGCTTTTAATTTTTAATTATTATTAAGCAAAATGTTTCTCAGCAATAAATAGAATTTATTATATCATGAATTAGATGAATTCTATTCCTAATGATTCTCGGAATAATTTTTCTTGTAAAATTTCATTTCATCTGAGCTGTATTTTTCGTTGCTGCATTTAATTGATCTTATTAAATTTCATTTGATCTTTCATTACAGATTTTCATATGAATATTCCCGCTGTGCTTAATCAGTTAATATTTGTATTCAATTTGTATTCAATTTTATTTACTTCAATAAATAATACATTACCAAGTTTATCTACACAAATACTATGTGATTAATTATTACTTTTATTTTCATTATATTTAGAAGTATTTTGACAAGTAAAAACTTCCTTCTTTACTTGGGATTTTCTTGGCATAAGAGTGTAAGAAAATTACACATGGAAATTAGCCAAAGAACATAAAATTTAGAATATCCAATTAAATGCTAATATATTTCACATCTGAATAGTTAATAATGGATAGTTTTCACATCTGAATAGTTCAGTAACTTGAACTATGCATTAGAAAGGGATTTAAAGTCAGTTTTGCGTTCCTTTGAAATACTGGCTTATTGCCAACAATTCAGCAAAATTCAGCACAAAAATAAGAAAAAAAAAAAAAAAAGCAAAAAAAAAAATGATCACAGGAAATAAAAAAAAAAACATCAAAAAAAAAAAAAAAAAAAAAAAAAAAAAAAAAAAAAAATTTGAATCAGAAAGAAAAGGTGCAGATAAAATTGAAAGTAATCAATTTCAAGCTTTATGCAAACAGAAAAAACACCAAAAATATGATATTTGAAAAACATGCAAATAACATTGAGAAAAATTAAGTATGGCAACAAAAAAATTTTTCAAATTTCAATTCATGTATATGTACATTAGCCACACTTTCTTTGGATGGTCCAACAGTAAATAGACAAAAAGAAATGCTCCTGAAACAAAAAAATATCAACTTCCTGATCTCCCATAACAGTATCGAAGGCAAACAACCCCAATGTGCAATCATCACACCACTCCACAAAAAAAAAAAAAAAAAAAAAAAAAAAAAAAAAAAAAAAAAAAAAAGAAGAAAAAGATTTCACGTTATATTTGTGTTGGTTTGTTTGTTTAAGTTTTTATAATGACAATTTCTAAGTTTTGCTTTGCTACAAAATTGGGCAATAACATCCCTTCTTTATGGGGGGGGGGGGGGGGGGGTTAATTGGGGGGGGGTGGGGGGGGGGGGGGGGGGGGGGGGGGGGGGGGGGGGGGGGGGTGGGGGGGGGGGGGGTGGGGGGGTGGGGGGGGGTGGGCTTCATCATTAAGTGGGGGAGTATGTCCCCGCCTTCTTAGGCAGTTTGGTTAGTGGTCACATGCTCGACTTCAAGGTTCCCTGGAGGGCGGCTATAATATCCTAATGAACGTATTTTTCATCGAATAATATAGTTGGCCATGTTTTGGCACAGATTTCCAAAGAGCAACAATAATTTAAGAATTAGATGCATTCTATCTGCAACTTTGTAATAAATCAAGCCATAGAAGTACCACCTCTCATGGAAAACAAATAGGAATCATGCAGTTGCAATAAAAACTGGGGTAAAATTAAATTTCATTTCTGATTTTCATATGGCTGTGCTAATTTATAATTCAAAGTTTAACATACTATGTGATTGGTTTTTGACAGTTTTTTTCTTGGATCTTGTAAGAGTGTCATGTTAAAATTTAGAAATCCAATAAATGCTAATATATTTCACATCTGATAGTTAATAATGGATAGTTTCACATTGAAGTTCAGTAACTTGAACTATGCATTAGAAAGGGATATAAAGTCAGTTTTGCGTTCCTTTGAAATACTGTCTTCGTGCAATGTGACCTCCTCTTTTCTTGCAAAAATCTCCTGGTTTTTTAAGATTTCAAAGTTGGCAGCTACGTATATAATTCCAGCATGATTCAACCAATTTCAGCAGCAAAATTCAGGAGCACTTAAATACGATATTTGAATAATAGTGGCTCAAGCTTAGCATTGGCTTGCATGATCACAGGATATAATAATAAAATACATCTTAAAAAAAAAAAAAAAAAAAAAAAAAAATTAAGAGATCAGAAAGAAAAGGTGCAGATAATAATTTAGTTAAAAGTAATCAGTTTCAAGCTTTATGCAAACAGAAAAAACACCAATTAATACTGATATTTGAAAAACATGCAGCTATAACAATGCATGGTAAAGTGAGGAAAAAATAAGTATGGCTTGGTTATTAAAAAAGAGTTTTCTTTCTTTCTTTAAATTTTCTATTTCATGTATATGTACATAGAATAGCTCACACATGCATACTTTGGAAGACCAATGGTCCAACAGTAAATAGGACAGAACAGCTTAGAAATGCTGGTAGTGTTTTGCAGCTTTTTCTCTCCCGTTCATTTTTCTATCCCTGTGGTTGAATAAATAAACTGATCAAGCTTCTTTGACTCTTATATATTATAAATACAGTTCTTTTTCCCTAAAAAGATCTCCCATAACAGTATCGTTTTCCATAGGCAAACAGCCCCAATGTGCCTTATCATCACACCACTCATAATTCAATAATTATTCAGAGTATTCTTGAACTTGGAAGAAGAGAAAAGATTTTAAGATTAGTGTTTAGTAGACTGAACTTAATTGAATGCTTACTGTCTGACTCATTTAGCACAGTTTAATGGCTTAATATTTCAACCTTTGTTTAACATTTTTATAATGACAAATAAAAAATTAGAAAACAGTGTTGGCTGACTTACTAAAACATCCTTAGATCTTAATTCTAAGGCCCTTCTTGCTTTGCTTTCAATGAAAGCAGCTTGTAAATATTGGGCATATAACAAATCCATCATGTCTTCTGCTTCTTCCTGATTGAACTAGGTATGAAGGAAAAATTATAAGCATATAATTTCTGTCAAAATAGAAAGTACAATAAAATTAAAAATAGAAGGCTAAGATAAAATTTTAAAAAAGAGCTTAATTTAATAATTATAAATGTTTTACTCTAAATAAATCAATGCAACAAAGCTTTTCATCATAAAATAAGATTAGTAAGGGGGAGTATGTAAGGTATTTCTCCCGCCTTCTTAGCATGCCTTCGTGGTGTAGTGGTCAGCATGCTCGACACATATGTGAGAGGTCCAAGGGTTCGAGTCCTGGCGAGGGCATTGCTCATTTTTCATCTCTTCTGCTTTCAAAAAATATCCTAATGTCTCTATAACGTATTTTCCCATCGACCATGAAAGTTGAGTAGTTGGTTACCATGTAATTTGGCACAGATTCTCCAAAAGTAGCAACAATAATTCCTTAAGAATCTTGAGATGCACTTCTATCTGCAACTCTTGTAATAAAAACATTCATCTGTCTCTCTGCACAATACACCAAATAGCCACTGTTGCAGAAGTATTTGACCAACCTCATTTTTGCATTTTGTAAAAAGGTTTTCATCAGTTGCTACTACTCTGCTAGGCTCTCTCATTTTACTGAAACCTCTATTTAAAATGGTATGCATACAAACTTCCCACAAGTGATCGTTCCAATCTATTACTGTTTTGTCAGCCATATTAAACTGTAGCGATTCTTATCCAACAAACGTTAATTTTCTTGAATTGTAAATCAACCTATAAGTGCATCACAAATTTGATTCTACAGGCCTTGAACACACTTTTTTCCCCTCCAAAATGTAAGGGGAGGGAAAAAAAACAATTAATTTATATACTTGTTCATAAAAACAGACAATGGCCTATCAAGAATCAGTCAGGGTTACAACAAATAAAAGTGCAGATGTTATGTCTTGTGATGTCATGCTTATCCATAATTGGAACTAAATTTCATTGCTTGGCAAACGTTTCAGGGTTAACAGGACAATGCATAAATATCCAGGTTTTCTACATATCCGGTAAGACATACCTGTCATTGCATCATTATTTGTTAAATTACTCAAGCAATATCCTATAAAGATTTGTTTTTTAAATACCATTAAAATTTCATTTACACAAATAAGAAAATTTTTAAATGTATTGAACAAATATATATCTTTTAATTTACAAAGCAAAAATTCAATAAATACTAGTTTATAAGTAACAACAAAATTCAGGAAAAGAATTAGAAGTAAAATTTACAAAATTCTGGTATAACAAAATTCATTATTTAGCATTATGAAATGTTAACAGATGAAAAAGCAAACTGAAGAAGAAAATCTTACATCTTCAGGCTCTTCAATTTTCAATTCTTCAAATTTTGGTTTATTAGTACACAACACTTCCTGATTGTCTTCCAACTGATTTGAAGAATTTTGTTCTAGTTTTTGACCACCTTGATGGAAAATAGGTATATAAGAAACCATAATGTTATACACAACACAGAACATCTTATTTAAACTCCAGGAAATTTCATAAACATTAAAACTTCAGGAAGTTTCATAAATGTTAATATTTATTTTAAAAAGTTTAAAACATAAAATGCCTTCTTCAAGGGCTTAGGGATCATCTATAAGATATTTCATACTTGCCATCCCATGACACTCAAAAATCAGATTTTTTTTTAAGAAATCAGGAGATTTTTCTCAATGACAAAGATTTTTTTAAATGATGAAAATATATTTTTTAATAATAAATTAACTTAGTAGTAAGTAGTTACTAATAAATATCTGAAAGTTCAGTTACTAATTCTTAAATACAAATAGTACAAAAGTACTTACACGTAAAAATAATTTCTATTATTCACATCTTTTAACAACAACAACAGCAACAACAAAACACACACACACACACCATGGTTGGGCTATGGTGTAAAACGAGACATATACTGCCACACCACCAAACCGAGAACCCTATGAAGGAATTGGAATTTTGGAAATCTTTTTGCACCAAAATTCTTCAATTAGCTTCAGAATGATGATACAACTCGTAAAATTTTAAAATTTCTTTTATTTAAGAAGTCCACAATTTGCAAGGAAGGTGAGGACGCTACATGCACACATCCTCTTTTGGTTGCATAAATAAACACAGCTGTGTGATTGTCCTCTTTTGATTGTATGAATAAAGACGAATGTGTGTATTCTTATGTCCTCTTTTGATTGTATGAATAAAGACGAATGTGTGTATTCTTATGTCCCCTTTTGATTGTATGAATAAAGACGAATGTGTGTATTCTTACGTCCTCTTTTGACTGTACATATAAACACAACTATCATTAACAGTTCTTTTTTATTGCAAGAATAAACACAAAATATAACATGTTTAAAACCTTTATAACGCATTCCTTTAAATCATCTTGAGATGCATGATTTACTGATTAATGTAATTAAAGGAGTAATTTATAATAGCGATTTTGAGAATCATCGGCCATTTAATTCTTTGAAATTCATCAGTTAATAAATAAAGACTAGTCGTTAGTGATAAACGTGAGTAATACTAAAATATATTAAAAGACTTAATCATTAGTTCCAATTATAGATTCGTATGACGTTAAAAAATCATATTAAACCGCAAAGAAGTAATAAGATTTTAGAGAAGATTTCACAATAATTAGAACATATTTTGCAGTTTTAGAAAGTAATTTGAGGACAAGTTTTTTTCCCATACTAATCTCTCCTATTGAATAAATACCTACCGGGAGAATAGTTTTCCAATCTTTCGGAGTTACAAAGAGAAAAGCATAACACAAACAGAGTAAAGTGACAAGACTTTCTCGAGTTTTAGGAACCATTCCTGCATTGCAGAGCTCCGATTTCGGATGCCCCAGAAAATGTATTTATAAAATATTCAGGCATTTTGCGAATATTTTGGATTTTCAAATGTAATTGACACAAATGTTCGTCGTGCTTGATCCAAAAAGCGGTTAAAAAGCCGTAGAATGTTTTTGCTGAGATTTTGAAGTATCTTTACTAAAAATCAAGTAATCGTGGTTTGTAGCGAATACGCGGTGAGAATCTTAAGTTAACTTTGATCTGAATTCTTATGCCATAGTCTATTTTCTACAATATGCAACGTTTTAGTAGTTTAATATATAACTACTGTGTCATATTGTACGAATATTTGTGAAAAACATTTTCAGCATTTTGTTTTATTTTTTGTGATAAGAATAAATTTTTATTAACTTTTTATCGGGCTTGTGCATTCAATCTATTACAAACCCGTACGCAAGCAACAATATTCATCCTAATGAGTTAAATAATAGCAAATTAAATCATACTAGTAAAGTAGATTACAATAGCAATTAGTGGTACAGTAGTAGTTACTTATAACATGAAAGCATGGCTAGAATTTTTCCCTGTTAGAGAAATAAAAATTTTAGACTATCTTTTTGTACAGAACTTCATAACATAATTGCCATACAGTAAAGTGATGGTCCAGAGCATAATTTTGAATCTCGCTGCTAGAAAACTGAGATACACAGAATAATTTGATGATGAAACAATCTTTCACATTTAGTATACAGTAATTATTAAAGAAGAAGAAGGGTCAATTTACTGAGAAAAATACCATAGTTCTTTATAAAATAACCTAAACAGCGATCTGCATCCCGCTTGATTGACCGTCTTATTGCTGGAGACTTGGACTTTCACAGCTGGTACCAGATTCATCTTTTAATTGCACCATATTATTTTTTCCTTTCTTGAAGTTATAAAAACAACGTCTTTTTTACCACTTCTACTCGAAATACGTTATGTGTTACGACAGCATGTTCGGATAGCAATTGAAATTTTATTTGATTTGAAATTAGGCAAAGCAACAACCATAGTTTGGAGTAGATTTCGAGTAGAACCCTATCGGTCTCAGGTTCCTCTTTGTCAGGAGAAAAAAGTGCGTCTCCTGAAGAAGACAGACCTGTTTCTGATCGTCCTCAAAATCAATAGGGTTTTATTGAAAACCTACGCCAGACTAATGCTGCTGTTTTACCGAATTTTAAATTTTACATTGGTTATTTTATCTTGCATTTTGTCTAGATCTGTATTTTAGAGAGGGAAAACCCTCCAGTTTAGAGAATGCGATTAACCTCGTTTAGAAAAACCACTCATGGTCCCAGATAATTTTTTAATTCTGCAGAATTAGTTTTATTAGATTATTAATATTAATTCATTATTGTCAATTAATCATCCAACAATTATAATGTGCTTTCAAAAATATTGCTAACTCTCAAACGGAATTACTGCCTCTAAAATTTATTCACTGCTATTTCTTCAATACTTCCAAAAATTTTCGCAGTATTATTATCTTTGATGTAAATTCACATTATTTTATAAATATCTGGCAGAAAAGGAATCATTATTAATACTTTAACATTTTTTTTTTATTCTCATAGTGAGTAAAAATAGAAGGTTAAAGGTAAGTTATCACAATTTTCATTCCTGCATACTGAAAATCAAATCCACGAAAACGATTCGTCACACGTTTTGGATACACTGTGTTGTAAATTTCCTAAGAAATGAAGACCCACTAGATAAGTCTTTACTCCTTTTCCGTAACAATGAAAGTTATAATAATTATCATTTTTAACTTTCTTTTAGCAGTCCTCGGTGTTATCATAAATGAAACTCGCAGAAAGCGTGTGTGTAATACATTGTATTATGACCATATATGGAGGAAATGGAAACACACAAACCTTGCCCCGATACCGCAGAAACGAGGACTATAGTAACAAGACCAAATAAGGTTAATCAAAAACACACTCGTTCTTAATCCGACACCGCATTAACGAGGACTAGATAGTATTCTGACCATATTTGGAATGCACATGTTCACTTCGAACAGCAGTAAGGAGAACTTGCTTTTTCTGGCATGGAATCGTGGCCCCAATTTTTGCACAAAGATGCACAGCCCATATGCAGTTTTACACAGAAATAAACTACTTATATTCATACTGAGGACATAGCTCGGATTTGGCTCATAATTGGTTTCTACATGAATCCGAGGTCCCTGATTGCAATTCTGGCATTCTTGTCAACCGAGGATGTCCTCGGTTCTTCAAAAGTCCTCGGTTAGGTGTGTATACATACATACTCGTTTTACACCCTGGGCGAACACACACACACACACACACAAAAAAAAAAAAAAAAAAAAAAAAACTTTATAAGTAGTTTTTGTACAAATGCTATGAACAGTGGCAAATTTTGCTTTAATTAAGAAAGAAACTTCTTAATTTTGTTCACAGCAATTGCCACACATATCTGCTTTTACTAGTAAAAGTTTTTCTGTTATGTATTGCTAATATTTGATCTTGCTTTTGCAATAACAATGAAAATCCTCTCGCACTCTGTTACTACAGGGAATTGTCAGAATGGCCAAAGATATTCTAGTAAGTTCACTATACTTTCAATTTCCATCAGCACCTTTCAGTTTTCCAATTAAACTCCAGTAGGTGTAATCCTAAATGGTTTTATAACTTTATTTAAGTTTTCTAATTGTAAGCTGCAAAATTGTGACTGCAATTTATCAGTTGCAACAGCAATATAATGATGTCTCTCATGATTAAATGAAGTAAAACAGGAAATCTATTAAAAAAATATCTTATACAGTACAAAGTCCGAAATCCAGACTCGTCAGGACTACCGTGATTCCGGATATTAGATCATCAGTTTAAATCTATAAGACGGCATGTAGAAATTATAAAATTAAAAATATGAAATCATGATTTATGAAATAATGAAGTATTTATGATCTAAAAGGTGTCAAAATTTACAAAAAAAAAAAAAAAAAAAAAAAAAAAAAGGGGGGGGGCTTAATATTTATTTGTTTACCTTATTAAACATTTCTTTCAATGTAAGTTGTTTAAGTTGCATTGTTTCTTGTGCTAATACTTTCTTTTTAATTCTGTAGACAGACATAATCTCTTGTTTAGTTACATTGTTGAAGTCCTGTAGCTGCTGTTTCGAGAATTCCGACTAACTTGTCAATCGAAATTTTTTTCATTGTCAGTAACTTCTCTATCACTTTATTCACTATCGGTATCGGTATTTTTTGGATCTAGAACCATATTACAGATTTCACAATTTATTAATTGATTGATCATTGAGAAGCATTGTCATCACAATGAAAAACTTCTATTATATCATCTTCATTTATTGCTGTTTCTCCACATTTCTTTACAAAATTCGTTAATTGGAAAATTTCACCTTTGTTTTGCGATATTCGAAAACCTTTAAAATCAGCGGCTATCATCATCAAATTTAGCTATTCTTCACTATACATATTTGGCTATGCATCATAAGCTTGGCGACTAACGACAAGTTGTTACGTTAAATTGTATTTTGCTTCTATCGCCCCCTGAGACAATTAAGCCTGAAATGTATTAGTTTAATTATTTATTATACT